TCCAACTCTCTAACCATTAGGCCACGACTTCCCCTTTACCTTTAAAGACGGCAGAGAGTGTAGAATCACTGCAGATAGTTTTGTCTGTATAGATTTGTCTGTGATGTTGCTTTAATCTGCGAGAGAGTCGGTTATGACCCTCAGAAGCCAGAGCAGGAGGGAGCATGTGCGTATATGTGCACATGGGGAGGAAGAGAGCGGACAAATCAGATCTTCTGTAAGCAGAGAGACATAAAGATATCTGCTTGTGTTTGCAGTCATTACCCCTGTCTGACCAAACACTAACTCATACCAGCTGGACTGTGTTTTGCAAGCAGACACTCTTGAGATACACAATATAATAGTGTTCCTGTAGCTCAAACAGAAGAGCATGGCACTAACAATGCCATGGTCATAAGTTTGATTCCCAGTAAATGCATAAATTGATTAAAAACAATGTATTGAATGCAATGTAATGCACTTTGTGTAAAAGCATCTACCAAGTGCATAAATGCAAATGGTATAGGCTATTATTTATCCCTTTTACATAATGGGAGTGTGGCACTGCTGATGTTTCTGTTCTTTTTCAATTTTCTGTTTTGGCTTAATTTTCATCGTTTATTTGCAGTAGTAGTAATGTAGTAGTAGTAGTGAACCTCTTGGTTTGAGTTTTTGAAAGGTGAAATTTACTGTGATAAGTATTCTTTGATCTTATACATCCCTTTTTGTGTCTTTCAAACATAAATGATTGGGCTCCAGGGACTTATTCAACATTTTTGTTAGTTTAGCTAACACAGATGAAGTTTTGTTGAAACTGATTTACTAAAAATGACTTGAAAGCATCATATGCATTGTTAAAATCTACTAATCAGTAATGTTTTGCAACAAAGTTTTCTAGCCAAAGTGTGTTTTTGAATTCATGCTTGTTGCAAATTTTCTTCAAGACATTTATAATGTTACAAACTGTTCTTTTCCATTTCAAAAAATGCTGTTCTTTTGAACTTTTTATTCATCAAAGAATATTTAAAATGTGTAACAGTTCCACAAAACTATTAAGCAACTGTTTTCAACATTGATAATAACAAAATGTTTCTTGAGCACCAAATCAGCATATTAGAATGATTTTTAAAGAATCATGCGACACTAAAGACTGGAGTAATGGCAGCTGAAAATTCAGCTTTGCCATCACAGGAATAAATTACATTTTAAAACATAGAAAATAGTTCATATGTAGTAATATTTCACAAGAGTAAAAGTCAATATATTACCATAGTAGATAGATAGATAATGTCAGTTTATATGATTTTTAGCTTGTTGCAACTTATCTTAAAAAATAACATTTTTGTAAAGGCATCATAACTTTTACGTTTATTGCAAATATAAAATGAATGAATGAATAATTATTGCTAAAAAGTAACATTGGATCATTCTTTTGTGGTGAAAATGTTAGCTCAACAAGTGGCTTGACTTTGATAAAATTCTTAATGCAAGCAATTAATCACTAAAAATAACTTTAAACATTTTCTCAAACAGTTTTTTTATTCTTTACTGGTTAAAAAATATATTTAAACATTTTTAAAACAAGACAAATTTGGAGAAAATCTGAGAAAAAGAAAATGCGCCAAGACTGCATTTATTTGATTAAAAATCTGTATTTGAATATATTTTAAAATGTAATTTGCTGTGATTGCAAAGCTGAATTTTCAGCAGCATTAGGCAGTTGTGCGGATTAATATTTTTTGTGAAAACTGTGATTTTTCTTCTGCTTCAGGGTCCTTTGATGAATAGAAAATTCAAAAGTTCAGCATTTATCAGAAATATTTTGTAACATCATAACCAGGCCAAGGTACACCTGGCACTCCACAGCACCATACATGCTAACGGCAGTTTACTTGGCAAAGTTTCGGTTTCCAAGTCACGCCCTGAAAAGCATAAAAACACAGAGAACAGTAGCGCTGTGACGAAGAGGACGAAAGGGCGGAAGCAGACTGAGATTGGGCTCAATTCAAGCTCACTCTCTCTCGCTTTCTCTCTCTCTCTATGTGTTTGATTTGGAGGTGAAACAAGGACATCCAACCTGAGAACCTGCTGACCTCTGGAGTGGCTGTGCATTAACCAAACAATAAATACCTGCTGTAGGTTTATGTCTTCTATCATATATTTACATATAAACACTCACTTATAATCCAAATAACTTTAAACATTTTCTCAAACAGTTTTTTTATTCTTTACTGGTTAAAAAATATATTTAAACATTTTTAAAACAAGACAAATTTGGAGAAAATCTGAGAAAAAGAAAATGCGCCAAGACTGCATTTATTTGATTAAAAATCTGTATTTCAATATATTTTAAAATGTAATTTGCTGTGATTGCAAAGCTGAATTTTCAGCAGCATTAGGCAGTTGTGCGGATTAATATTTTTTGTGAAAACTGTGATTTTTCTTCTGCTTCAGGGTCCTTTGATGAATAGAAAATTCAAAAGTTCAGCATTTATCAGAAATATTTTGTAACATCATACATGTCTTTACTGTCACGTTTGATCAATTTAACAAATCTTTGCTCATATTAGTTCTACTGACCCCAAACTTTTGAAGACTAGTGTAGGTAGTATATAATACTAATTATGAAATACTAATGAAACATAATACTAAATAAAAAATATATATTTATTTTTGCTCTGACCCTAATTGATTCTAAGTACGCAAAGATTTACAGTCAGTTTATAATGCTATGATGATTTTGTACATTATGCACATTATGTACATTATGCACTTTTAGAGTAAAGAGTAAAGTAAATATTTTTCTCATATTAGGCTAAAAATTCTCACTTCAGTCTCACTTCCTCACTTGAATTTCTATTAGCATTAAGAATGATAATTCCACAATTATAATAATAATAATAATTCAGTAATATTCTATTAAAATGTTGTATACTGACAAGTTTATCAACAGTATATCAACAACAGGTCTCTACTGAAGAACAAATCACACCATAGGACATACAATATTTATTTAGGAACACAAACAATGATAAGTTAATTATCAGGTAGTCCACAAATATTGTGGGAATGGTATCAATACAGTCAAACAGGGGAAAACATACATGGAAACCCATTTGGGAACAAGTGACCCCAAAAGAAAAGCTTGATCAGAAATTGTTGTAAATGGAAAATAATACAAAGTAAATATTAAAATTTACTGAAAATTGTTTTCAGCAAATAAGAAATTAAACTCCACCCCCCATCAGATTTATAATTTTTATGTCAATAGAAAAAGCAGATTGGGCCAGAATTACAACTTGAATGGGTGTTCTCATCCTTTCTCTAAAACTAGAAATGAGATAGAATTCCTGAAAAGCACTCATGTAGAATTCCCCCAAAAAGCAAGAAACTACAAAATATGATATACATATGCATACGTCATGCAAAGTGGCAAGTCTGCTTACAAACATGTTGTACAGTAGTCTGGTTTAATGTAGCTTTAGAGATTTACTCTCCTCGGCTAAAAAACAACAGTCTGATAAACCAGCTAACCAGCTCCCCCAAAAACAGATTGAAATAAAACTAGGAGCCATGATTATAAAATATCCAGAATCAATTTTAAGACCAATCTTTACAATCTTTGAGGACATCAGTGAGCTACTGCGTAATGGACAAAGCAAAGCATCATGGAAAATCCGGCTTGAGTTTGAAAAAAGGGTGTTCAACTAGTGAGATTCCCTGATTGGTTGAGTAGAGTCAGCTGACCAGTGAGGTACGAAAAAAGTCCCATTATCCAACGGGGAGAGAAAATTTAAGTCTGATACACAATGTTTGAGTGTGCAAGTCTCACACGCTGTACACATGAACGCTTGCATTGAATACTAGTTAGTTAAAAACCGCAAAAACAGATCGCTAATCCGCATGCAACGTCAACTCTCGTCTTGCATAAAGAACACCAGATAAAACAACAAAAAGTAAAATGTGAGAAAAGTTGCTGCCTTAGATGCTAGACGTCCATCTTCGAGAAAATACCAGAAATAATCCACGGGCGCAATGATCATAGTCCCATATACGTTAAACTACTCTTTTATTATAGAAAAAACGTGGTAATACAATGTGCGCTTGTTTCTTTATTTCTCTTATTACCTTCGTGTTGGCTTTCGCTCCTCTTCTGTAAATGTCCATGTTGCTTGGTTATTCTTGGTGTAGCTCTCTCCCCCTCCATGCCTGGTGAGTGAGAGAGAAAAAACGCCCCTCCCCTGACGCCTTGCTCTGTGTAGTCCAGGCTCTCATCTCTCGGCCTCCATGGCGACGCTGGCCTTCTGTTCGGTTGCCGCTTGCTGGTTGACAGCTGAGGGCCAGCCTGGGGGCGGGTGGGCTTGTTGGGGGGAAGGCCCCTGAGTCCATAAGCCCTGCTGGTTGGGCACGGGTGCGGTCATGCCCCAGCTGACCGGAGGTGGAGGGGGCGAGGTGGCCATGCTGGGACTGCTGCTGCTGTTGAAGCTTTCCGAGGCTTTGAGTCGCGAGAACATTGTGAGGGCGTCTGGGAAGTTTGGTGGCGTTGCGGGTGTGTTTGCTGGGGTACACATCTAAAAAACAAAACAGATGGACAATCACAACTGTGTTCTTGGATAATGCACATCATTTATCAAATTGATCATTTTCGATCACTTTTTGGTGTCAGTAACATGTTTGATGTTTTTGAAAGAAGTGCTTTCAATGGCTCTTATGTTAACAATGGCTGTATTTATTTATTTGATCAAAAACATTACAATTTAAAGTAACTTTTGCTATTTTAAAGGGTTAGTTCACCCAAAAATTAGGCTGTGTTTTGCTCACCCTTAACTTGGTAATACAATGTGCGCTTGTTTCTTTATTTCTCTTATTACCTTCGTGTTGGCTTTCGCTCCTCTTCTGTAAATGTCCATGTTGCTTGGTTATTCTTGGTGTAGCTCTCTCCCCCTCCATGTCTGGTGAGTGAGAGAGAAAAAACGCCCCTCCCCTGACGCCTTGCTCTGTGTAGTCCAGGCCCTCATCTCTCAGCCTCCATGGCGACGCTGGCCTTCTGTTCGGTTGCCGCTTGCTGGTTGACAGCTGAGGGCCAGCCTGGGGGCGGGTGGGCTTGTTGGGGGGAAGGCCCCTGAGTCCATAAGCCCTGCTGGTTGGGCACGGGTGCGGTCATGCCCCAGCTGACCGGAGGTGGAGGGGGCGAGGTGGCCATGCTGGGACTGCTGCTGCTGTTGAAGCTTTCCGAGGCTTTGAGTCGCGAGAACATTGTGAGGGCGTCTGGGAAGTTTGGTGGCGTTGCGGGTGTGTTTGCTGGGGTACACATCTAAAAAACAAAACAGATGGACAATCACAACTGTGTTCTTGGATAATGCACATCATTTATCAAATTTATCATTTTCGATCACTTTTTGGTGTCAGTAACATGTTTGATGTTTTTGAAAGAAGTGCTTTCAATGGCTCTTATGTTAACAATGGCTGTATTTATTTATTTGATCAAAAACATTACAATTTAAAGTAACTTTTGCTATTTTAAAGGGTTAGTTCACCCAAAAATTAGGCTGTGTTTTGCTCACCCTTGAAGCATCCTAGGTGTATATCACTTTCTTCTTTCAGACGAATCCAGTCTGAGTTATATTAAAAATTGTCCTGGCTATTCCAAGCTCTATCATTGCAGTCAGTGGGTGTTTCTGTTCAACAGTCCAGAAGACATCAAATAAAGAGCGTGCATCCATAAAACGTGCCTTACACGGCTCTGGGGGATTAATAAAGGCCTCCTGTAGTGAATCCATGCATTTTCATAAGAAAAAGATCCATATTTCAAACGTAATAAACACTTTTCTCTCACTTCAGGTATCTGTCATACGTGGAAGGCGTTCCGGCGGATGACGTATGCGTCGCGCGCTCACATAAGCCCTGCTGGTTGGGCACGGGTGCGGTCATGCCCCAGCTGACCGGAGGTGGAGGGGGCGAGGTGGCCATGCTGGGACTGCTGCTGCTGTTGAAGCTTTCCGAGGCTTTGAGTCGCGAGAACATTGTGAGGGCGTCTGGGAAGTTTGGTGGCGTTGCGGGTGTGTTTGCTGGGGTACACATCTAAAAAACAAAACAGATGGACAATCACAACTGTGTTCTTGGATAATGCACATCATTTATCAAATTTATCATTTTCGATCACTTTTTGGTGTCAGTAACATGTTTGATGTTTTTGAAAGAAGTGCTTTCAATGGCTCTTATGTTAACAATGGCTGTATTTATTTATTTGATCAAAAACATTACAATTTAAAGTAACTTTTGCTATTTTAAAGGGTTAGTTCACCCAAAAATTAGGCTATGTTTTGCTCACCCTTGAAGCATCCTAGGTGTATATCACTTTCTTCTTTCAGACGAATTCAGTCTGAGTTATATTAAAAATTGTCCTGGCTATTCCAAGCTCTATCATTGCAGTCAGTGGGTGTTTCTGTTCAACAGTCCAGAAGACATCAAATAAAGAGCGTGCATCCATAAAACGTGCCTTACACGGCTCTGGGGGATTAATAAAGGCCTCCTGTAGTGAATCCATGCATTTTCATAAGAAAAAGATCCATATTTCAAACGTAATAAACACTTTTCTCTCACTTCAGGTATCTGTCATACGTGGAAGGCGTTCCTCGCCTCTGAGATATGCTAGTCTCGCGAGTTTGTTTACAGGAGCAAAGGAAGCAAAGTTTCCTTACTTTAGCAAAGGAAAACCAGTCTCCTCTTGGCTTATATCGAAATCCTCTGACATTTTTCTTTACAAATCTTCGTTTTGTGCTTCTAATTTGTGACCGGCGATATGTTTTGTTCTCTCTCCGCATTCGTCACTAATCACGCAATGCCGACGTCTTACGTCATCCGCCTGCACAGCTTCCGCGTACGACAGTCAGCAGAAGTGAGAAAAAAGTGTTTATTACTTTTGAAATATGGATATTTTTCTTTTGAAAATGCATGGATTCGCTACATGAGCCCTTTATTCACCCCCCGGAGCCGTGTGAGGCACGTTTTATTATAGATGCGTGCACTTTATTTCCCGTCTTCTGGACTGTTAAACAGAAACACCCGCTGACTGCAATGATAGAGCTTGGAATAGCCAGGGCAATTTTTAATATAACTCCGATATGATTCATCTGAAAGTCATATACACCTAGGATGCCTCGAGTGTGAGTAAAACACAGGCTAATTTTCATTTTTGGGTGAACTAACCATTTAATGTAGGCTATTTTAAAATGTAATTTATTTCTGTGATGGCAAAGTTGAAGTTTCAGCAGTTAGTACAGTTATATTTTTCAGGATTCTTTTATAAATAGAAAGTTAAAAAGAACAGCATTTCAAAATTCTGAACAGAAAGTAAAAAATAACAGAGCAAGAATTTTTTGTATAGAAATGTTTTGTAACATTACAAATGTATTTACTGTCACTTTTTTTGTCAACTGAATAGGTCCTAGCTGAATAAAAGTATTCATTTCTTTCAAAATTTCCCTAGTAAAAGGTAATATATTTAAAATACATTTATTTCATTCTAAGTACAGTTCAAATCTATTCATGTATTTACTGATATAAAGCTCGAGACTTACTGATATAAAAATTATAATTAAACTTTTTTGGAGTACTACTTGTGCACAATGCACATTTCTTAATATTAAGCCTAAAATGTGTTTTAATGTCGCTACTGATGATGATTATATGATCTTTGAGTAATATAGGTCTTTAAATGCAAGATATTTAAAGTGTCTCTGAAGTATTCTTGCAATAGTTCCACGTTAGCACAATCAAATATACTTCAATATATCTTTAGTTAGACTTCAGCACTACTTCCGTGCATTAAGTACAAAATTAGTTGTTCCAATTTAGCAGACATTTAAGTATACCAGGTTAGTATACTAAGAGTACAACTGCAGTGTATTGTTATTAAGTACATAAATATGTAAATGTATTTGTATTATACTTAGTATGAAATAAATGTACTTCAAATGTATTTTGAAATAAATGCATTTCTTTTTAACTAGGGCTTACTGCCCCCAAACTTTTGAACAGCAGTGTAGCAGTTTGTCTTATTACACTTTAATTAAAATACATAAAAGTTAATCAAATCTTGCTCGCTCTAAAATCATTTTAATTTATTTCATGATTTTCAGCTGGTGTCACGAACCCCTCATTCATATATGTGTATCATATAGAGGTCTCCTTTCATAATTCAAGCTATTTCTGATAAATAAAAATCAGGTTCTGTCTTTTACAGATTGCAGAAGAAAAATTAGAGACTTTCAATACATCTTTAACATTCCTAACTAATAAAACACATTTTAAACCGTACGACAAGCAGCTAAAACATTTTAGTGGCAAAATTAAATTCTGCCAAGTTGTCCCAGTAGATCATTACAACATTCCCTCCCTTCCTTCGCATTCTCTCTGCCGGTGTTGATTGGTGCTCTTCTAACAGTTCAACTTCCTGTTTCTCATCTCTGCCCTGGCATCACCCGCTCTGCCTTGCTCCGTGTGCCATTCAGCTTCTCCATTACATCTGTGACCTCCCCATTGTCCTCTCTGAACTCGATGTCCTCTGTCCCCAGCAAATCGCGCATCTAGAGGTACACAATAGGCCTCATGAGAGCACCCCCGCCATCCTGCGATTTTTTCGGCGGCAGGACAACATCACCAGACATAAACAACATTTCAAAGGTCGCCACAAATCTGCACAAGGCAGCAGTCTGTGGGTTGAACTAGGACTAATATGTGGGGAGAAATCTAAGAGATTGTCAATGAAAGCTAAATGAACGGACAGCATTACATTGGGATACTTCCTGGTGTGCCCTTGCACAGGTATGAGAAACATGTCCATATTGTCTTACTGCAGCAATCACATCGGCATCCGCGTCCTATCCAGTCAGCAACCTTAAATACGGCCGCCTGCAGTTTTTATTGACCCACCTGTAAGGATATCTCTCCAAAAACCACCACAATCACCCCATTGTGGCCGGTCAAAAGTCTCAAATGGACCTCCGTGTCCCTAGATGCCTTTAATTCACAAGAGTGATTAGAACAGGAAGTCTGAGGGATTAAAAAAACAGCTATGAAGCTGTTACACAGGCTTCAAATGGCAATGAGGAGGGGGGAAAAAATCCCTCGGTTTGGAAGAGTCGCACAAAATGGCATCCAGCAATACATCACCCAGCTGGACAGCTGCTGCAGATGTGGAGACGGTCAGTGGCTTAACAAGGCCGTCAAACCGAGAGCAGATGCATTTGCAGATCCTCCATAAATCAGAAACATTGACAAAGCGTGCTTCAAGAGGTGCAGTGTACATAAACATGCTCCGGCAGACAGCTGGGTTGCTATGGAAATATTTTGGTTGTGAGGACAGAGCTGTTGATGAGAAATGAGGTCAGAGTTGGTGTAGAAAAACAGAACCTGCGGTGCACAGCCCAGTCCACTTTGTTATACTTTATTTTTGTTTGTTACATTTGATTTACTTGGAAACCCAGTGAATGTTTAAAACTGTATTTCTATCTATCTGAACACACCCCTTGTCTTCCATTGGTTGGTCAAAAAGATAACCCAGTCCCAAATTCACTGCTGGTCTGGATTCTCAAACAAAGAATGTTTAGGTAGCACTACACAATGTAAAGGCTGTAAAACAGGGCACAATGTACTGTGTTAATATGAAAGAATTTTCCATATACATTTTTTACAGATGTTTTACCCATATTTTGAATTATGCATTGCTTCATGTTGATTCTTTTTCTTACAGTGTACAAAATAATTTAATAATAATTTAATAATTTATGCATTTAGCAGACGCTTTTATCCAAAGCGACTTACAGTGCATTCAGGCTATACATTTTTTACCAGTATGTGTGTTCTGGTAAAACCAGAGTGTTTTTACTTTACAACCTGCAAATGGCTTACTTGTCTCTTCATATTAAATTAAAATCAGAGAAAGTATGAAAAAACAATTCAGCTTGTATCACCACATGCTTTTGAGTAGTCTTTGTTTAAAACAAGACCAATAGTGTGACACTTTTTCAGCTGCCTTAGTTTCGGAAGCATTTTTCCCAATGGAATTTAAAAAAAAGTCTATAACCAAAAGCCATGAACCAAACCAGCCTGCTACAAGGTAAACCACAAATTACAATCTTTGGCTTAAGCAAAAAAGTTTTGAAAATCAGCCAAAAAACAAAAGGTAAAAGACTGCAAGAAAGAACGGCAACTCCATTAAGCATTGCAAATAGCATAGTTGAAGAAATAAAAAAAACTATTTAAAAACTGTTGTTTTCGACATTAACAAAAAGGTCCAGATCTAATGCGGGACTTGGAAACATCTTTTTGTGACTTCAAATAGGATATCCTTGATTGCCCATTTCCAACTAGAACCATAGCAAAAACATGTAAGTGAACCCAGCGTCTTTGGTTCACCAAGCACAACATAAGCCCTGCAGAGGCATCAGTGAAACAAAATTAGAGAGCATCATTCTTGTTCCCCTTTACTATTGTTCAATGAGCCAGACTGTTCCAATCCACAAACAAGCAGATTCTCCTCCATTGGAAATAGCTAGAAATATATAGCATAAAACAAAGGAAAGCTTTCAAATTCCTTTGAACTAAAACAGTGATGCAATTCATTGCTTCATGCTTAGCATGGAAGTTCTAGTACAACTGCTGTTTTGCATCCTTCACATGCATGTCTACATGACTGTGGCAGATGGTGCATGAAATATAATGATAAGGTTTGTAATGAGATAATTGACGGTTCACTGCAGCGTTCCATTGTAACACAAAACTGTACAACACTGCCTGATCTGTTGTACGCGTATCTGTGAGTATCTGAGAGAAAGAGAGACGCTGGCAGTTGTCGTCAAGCAGGCAGACAATGCCTTTAGGAGGTGCTTTGATTTTTATAACAGTAATTTGTAATCACGTACTGCAGAGATGCAGATGTTTTTCTGATCTCTGCACTCTATTATACTGTGTGTGTGTGTGTGTAGATTTAAGTGTTTACACATATGTGAGCAAATGATCTCTCAGTTCAAGGCTTGATTATCAACCTGAGTGTAACAGTACAGAAGGATTTCAGAACA